TGCGACCAGCCCACAGTATGCAAAGTAGAGGGGCTTGCAGCTGGCTCAGTTGCACCTCGGAGCTGTCCAGTTCAGCACCATAACTCCTCAGTAGCTCTTTGGAGGAGGCAAATCAGCAAGCAGCAGAAGGGACCAAGTTTCACTGCATTTTTTTTTTTTTTTTTTTTAGAGACAGCAAGTCCTCATCACTGAAGCAACTGAGGCAAGGTGGCACCCTTCTGGTTCTCAGTGTGGCTTTTCCTGTTGTCCAGGCCAGGCAGGGACAGCTTCCGGCTCCAGCAAAGTCTCCCCTCCCACTCCCCATGAAGGGAGGGGAGGGCAGCCCCCTTCAGATGGCGTAATGGTATGAACATTCATGGTTGTAACTCTCTTCCCTGGCTTGTAGCCATAACACTATTACACATTCTATACCAGCCTTAAACAACTTCATACAAACTCTTTCAATTCTATGAAATGGATGTTGGAGCTTAGAACAGACTAATTCCTGTGATCAAATTTTTTAATAACATCCAAAATGTACTCTGTAATCATAACAGCTATATCACAAGCATGGTCAACTGTGGAAAGGCTGAGACAGTTGAAGGCTCCTTCCCAGCCCATTTCCCAAAGTCTCTTCTTCCTAGAACCAGCTCTGGTGCTTACTAAACCCCTAGAAGAGGGCTAGTATGGGGCTATGTTTTGGATTTGCACTGAAAACTGTGTTAACAATGCAAAGATGTTTTCACTGTTGTTGAACAGTGCTTACATGGTGCCAAGGCTTTTTTCTGCTTCTTCTACTGCTTCTCCAGCCAGAAGACCCCTGGTGCACAAGTAGCTGGGAAAGAACATAGCCAGGACAGCTGACCCAAACTGACCAAAGGGATGTTCCACACCATATGGCGTTATGCTCAGCATATAAAGCTGTGGGAAACCAGAGCAAGGTAAGGGCCATTCAGAACGATGATGTTAAGCATATAAAGCTGGTGGAAGAAGGAGGAAGGTGGGGGCCATTCAGAATGATGGCATTTGTCTTCCCAAGTCACCGTTATGCAGAATGGAGCTCTATGTTCCTGGAGATGGCTGAATACTTACCTGCCAACAGGGAAGTGGTGAATTAATTCCTTGTTTTGCTTTGTTTGCATGTGTGACTTTCGCTTTGCATATTGAATTGTCTTTTTTTCAACCCCATCTCACTTTTACTCCTCCAATTCCCTCTTCCATTACACCAGGAGTGAGTAAGGGAGAGCTGTAGCTATCAGCTGGGTTTAAACCACAGCATTGCACATGTGATGCAGTGACGACAGAGCCAAGTAAAACATATTCCAATCCTGAAGTACTCATTAGCTTGGAGTTGAAGAAGGCAAATAGAAATGTGACAGGATAAGCTACACTATTAGGAGAATTAAAGTTCTGCTAGCTACTGTTTGGAAAGTTTGCAAAGCCATGGCATACAATAACTCCACTTATACAAATTATAGTGTGTACCAGAAATGCTCCTTGTTCAACTCGTATTTCAGAATAAGCTGAAAAATAAATATTATCTGATTATGCAAGAAATATCACGTAAGTCACAAAAAGAGTGTATAGGTTAAAAAAAATGGTAGGAGAATCCATTTAAATTAATAGAATTCACTTAAAACCAAGGGATGCATTTTGTTGAGGGGAAACCCTCAAGCTTTAATATTTCTACTGCTACTTAGAAAGTAAGTTCCCTGTGATAACATTATATAATCAGTCAAAAGAGAAAAGAAAAAGCACTAATTCTTTCATTCCTCATGTTTAGTATCTGTTTTTATATGAAGCAACAACAAAGTTCAAAGATGCAGAAAAATTCATCAGGTCTGTGCTGCCAAAAAGGGTAGTGTTCTGCATTGGGATGGGGGTGGAACAACACTGTTGTTCTGCAGTGAGCTAATTCAAGGATATACACCTTCTTATAACAATATTTTAAAAACAACTGTTTTTCTGTCATATCTATTTGCCTGTCCATTGAGACTATAATTACTTACAGTTAGCTCTTAGGCCATTAATACAGTGAGAGAATGTTAGCATTTCACTCACATGAAATTAACACAGTGGAGTAAAAATAATTTGCTATCCATTTCATGCATCCTCTGTCTCATAAAAAAGGTCAACACTGTAATGGCTAAAAGAAATATTTAAACAGTTACAAAATGCTAAGTGACGACTTGCTTCACACTGAATTTATTTACTCTATTATCCCTAATTCCAACTCCTTTAATTGTGCCCATTTCCCTTAGCGCTATCAATAGCTAACAGCAACACATTCAAAAAGATATTAACCACTGAAAGGATCAATTACAGCACCTTGGCAGAGCTCAGTATACCACGACACCAGGTTACTTACTCCTTTACCACACAGATGAGTATCAGGTAATAATGTGTGAAAGCGGACAGAATTATGCACTAATTGATAAGTGCCTTGCTAATAAAAATCAAAACTACTTTACTCATGATCTAGTGGCTGAACAGCATACAGCCTGCTTCCTCTAAAAAACCATCAAGTTTGATGGGGCAGGTTTGTTGGGTTTGGGGTGGTTTTTTGCATGTGTTTGGTGAGTTCATTTTTTTTTTAAAAAAGGCTATCAAGGAAAAACTACTTGGTTTTTAATTAATCAAAACAGATAAAATTCTAGATTTCTAAACCACTGGAACAAAATGATATGCTGAGCTATATAGGCTAAAGATGAGCCAAAAGGGAAGTTCCCATTCTCCTCTTTTTTACTTTCATCTCTGCTCTTAGCTTTACCCATTTCTTACCTTGACACAACCCTAGCCATTCTCACACTTTTTGCAGCACTCACTCATCTCAACTGCAAAAGAGGGGAAGTAGGATCTGGTTTTTTGCAGTTTAGTTTACTGACAGTTCAGCATGTTGAACCAGGCCAGTGAAATGTCTGATGAGCACCAAGGTCAAGCGCAGGAAAAAGGAAGCAAACCCAGTGATGTAGAGGAGGGCAGTCAAAGAAATATTTTACTTCCTAGTTTTTTTCTCAAGGCTGGAGCAGGGAAAAGGGCAGTCCTTCTCTGAGCAGCAGGTGGTTAGATGGGCTTAACAGTTTTTAGCTGTCTTAATATTTTAGAATTCTTTATAGTTTTCAGAAGAATGACTCAAGAATTATTTCCTTTCACATCACTAACTTAGCAATTCCATACAATACCCAAGTATGTTTTTCACTTCCCAAAACTCTCTGAGTACAGCACATAATCTTTCAAAGAAGTCAGAGCTCTCCAACTATAACTTGTGTACAAATCAATGCCTTCTCTTTTCAGCATTTTATTCTTTAAACCCTATGTTTCCAGCACACAGGAAGAGTCATACATAAATTCATCTACTCAAGTGATATAGATTCATAACAGTATTTAAACATACTTTGCAAATGTAACTATTAGTCCCCATAAATTGTACTTAATTGCATGAATTATTCTTTTTTTATTATTTCTATCCTTTAGGGTTGTGATAAGCTATTATAAGAGTGGCAGTTCCACTCTTCCCCTATAACACTATACTCCATGCCTTTCTGACTAGCTCTTCTACCACAAGAAGATTTGTCCAAACAGATTAATGCCGTACTGTTGTCATCTATGTAGTACAGGAAACAAACTGTTTCCACAGTTTATACTGTATTGGCTTTTCTATTTTGTTTAGTTTGAAAAAAGAAGAGGCAATTATTAGAACACTTGCTCATAGTTTGGATTAGACTATGGGGTAACTACTCGTAGTATATATATTGTACGAGTAAGCTCCGGGAGAAAATAACCCAACTTTGTTAGCTTGGTGTTTTACTAGGTTAGCTTCCTAAAATAATGTAAATACATTAAGTTTGTCAAATATCTGTTTTCATCTCTTTATATTCAAGTGCCACATTGCATAGTATTAACCTTAATAATCTGTCATCTATAACACAAAAAGGAAAAGATGCCATTAAGAGGAATTGCTCTTTACAAAAAAAATTTATTCCCATCACCTGCGATCATCTAACATAATTTAAAAAAAAAAATTACAGAAGTATTGATTGTAACACAGTGCCCAAAAAAGTGGCAGATTTAAATTGCCTCTCACAGCGCTAGCTGCAATTCAAACACCATACCTGGTACTGCTGCCACAACACGCTTTAGCAAGAGGAAGTCCTATGAGCAAAAATTACTGCTTCCCCAGCATTGCCTCATCATCCAAGTGAGAAAAGCACTTATTTCCCCACCAGCGCAGGTAAATACTCATCCCCCTGTAAGAGGGGTGTCCTGAGCAGACCCTCACTCACGATGCCTAAGCTCCGCCTCCAGCTTGATCCTGCTCCCCTAGGGAGACTTCAGGGGCGAGGCCTAGCAAGAGGCAGTCTCTGAACACCACGGCATCACGCAGGAAACACCTATTTAACCCGGGACAGGGTCTCTGATGCAAAAGCACGCGGCAGGACAAATACCAGGTGCAAGGCAGGTAAAACTGTACTCTCTTCTCCACAGTCTGAATCTTTCCTCCTATCCCTCCCTCTAGTGAGCTCCAACAGGACTTGGCTTTTAACAGAGCTTAAAGGTTGGACTTGATGATCCTAAAGGTCTTTTCCAACCTAAACGATTGATTCTGTGACTTTTCACCCCTGCCTGTTGAACAGCCGTGGGCGGCGCTACTCCCGCCCGCTCCCCGTCGCAGGCGGGAAGCGGCCTGACCGCCCCACATCGCCGCGGGCTGCGCCGCTCCTCGCCCGGAGCCGCCCGTGACTACTTCCTTTCAGCCAGCGGCGCTGGCTAATGGAAACAACGAGAAACAAGCTCTTGGCCACCCCAGGCGCCAGACTTTCGCCCTCTCCCGAAGCGCACTTCTCCTGGAAAGATAATCTCAGCACCGCCCACTGCAGAGAAGCAATGTGGCCACCCCAAAGCCTACAGGAGCCCCTACGACGGCGGGCCGGCCCCCCTCATGCGGCAGACCCGCTCCTTCCCACACAAGGATCAGGCGCTCTCTTCAGGCGCTGACCCCCAGCACCTCCCCACTCTCTCACCGGTGCCCCGGTCCCTCTCGTTCTCTTCATCTTCTTCCTCCTGCAGTTGCCCATCCCGCTCCGCCGACCCCCGCTCCTCGCCCTGCGCCTCCACCGGCACCACCGTGAAGCTCGTCGGCATGGCGCAGACGGCCCGAGACCCGCTGGCACCTCCTCCCAGGGCAGCGGGCCGGGTGAGCCGGGCGCTGCCGCCTCCCTCACGTGAGAGCCATTTCCTCACGCGGGGGGGCGGTGGCCGCCACCGCCCCTTAGCGCCTGACTGATGGCGCTGCGGCCGCAGCTCCGAAGGGAGGGGCCCAGGCCCGGCGGCCTTTCGGTCTCATATCTTGCCTTGCAGTTATCCTTGCAGTGCTAAGATCATCGGGCTCTTGGTCTTCTCGTACCACCACACAGAAACTGCCTTGCAAAGGAAACTCGAGCTGGGCTGTAGGGCCCTGATTCTCCAGGTCACTGAAGGGATGACATCATCCAGAAGGCCAAAGCAGGAGATTTACGGTTCACCTTTTGGACAAGTGGAGGAGAAAGTCCACTCTGTCTTTGGACTACGAGGAGATAAAGATGGTTCCCAGAAATCTGCTCCCCTACACAGCAGACATGCTTTGCAGAGGACAGGTGAAGGTCCTGTGATTCAGGTTGGAGTCAGCATGTAAACTCTGACCTGAAGTAAAGCAGATTCAAAGAATCAATGGATGAACAGTGTATAAAATTAAATGTTAATGTTAGTAATGAGCTGTAGTTCTTGGTTATCTCAGACTTCCCTTCCCAGAGGAGGTTGTAGCATATCCACTGCAAAAGAAAATGGACTTAGAAGCCAAGGGCATTTTTCTTGTCTCCTGCTATTCTACCCTCCCAGCAAAGTGGTGAAATAGAGCAGAAAGACTCTAGTCACATCAGTCTGTATCTATGCCTTTTGAAAGGGCACTCTGGTGGGTTTGTGGGTCCAGTGCTTCAGTGGGATGGAAGATCGCTAACACTAAAGCCTGTCCCACTGCATAGAGGTCTTCAGAGAAAGGGATAGGGAAAGTGATTCTGGCCATCAAAGGTAGCAGTGAAGTGGCAGATGTGGAGACATTGGGGCAGCAATCAAAAGAGAGGGAGAGATGCATTTGATACTTGGTATGGACTTCCACTTTCCAACCCTATTTAAACCATAGTGTCACTACAGTAATGAGAATAGTGGCTGCATGAAAAAGGAGTTTCTTCATCCTTTTTCAGAGCTTAAGAAAGCCACTGGAATGGTGTCTTTACTAATGACAGCATATCTCCAATGTTAATGATGTTACCTGCAGAGGCAAGGATATCTGGGGAAATTTTTAATGTTAAAGCTCATTTTATTATGTATAGATTACTACCAAATTAATAGTGTGAAGGAACTAGATACAAGAGTGAAGTAGAATAGTAAATGTAATTTTGAAACATATACACATACTAATAATTCCCTTTTCAAAAGAAGATTATTTTTGTATTATTATTTTTCGCTATGGCAGAGTTAACTTTTTTTGTTGTAGCTGTGAGGGGCGGAGCCTGGAGCCACTTGTCTAGGTTATTCTGTACAACCTCACCGTCATCGGTCATCGCTGGGGGATAGAAGTAAGGGACTCTCAAGAAGAAGGTGAGCATGGCTTGCAGTCAAAGAAAAAGCGTGGTGGCCTGAGCGTGTATCTTCCATTGTTTTTCATTATCCCGGGTTTGGTGAGCATTTTTGTACGTAAATCAGTCGCTCTTTGTAAGTCTTGGTTATTAGTATTGTTGCTGTCACTGCTCCTTGTTTTTTAATTTAATTGCTGTTTTCAGTAAATTGTTCTTATCTCTACCAGTAATCTCTGCCTTTTTTATCTCCCAGCAGAGGGGGAGGGGAGCAGCTTGTGTTTTCTCTTTAGTGGGAGTACTAAATCAGCAATACCATTCCTAAACCATGATGACAGAATACAATGTATAAAGTATGAGGTCGTGTATGAGTACTGAGAAGAAACTTTTCAATAGCTTATCATCTGTAAAGAAACATCCATCTGGTGCCTTGAGAAGTCTATTGAGAGAAACTCAATACAGTAAAGATGACAAGTGTAGTATCATGCAATATTGTACTGCATGTGGAAAAGGTTGAGTGGGAGAAATTAGGACTACAGCCTTCATTTTACTCCAACCTGTTACATTTTTTTTTCTAAAATAGCTAAGAGACAAAGAAAGAGAAGCTTTGGACCAAATAACTTTTGAATGAACAGAGGCAGAACTTGCTCTTCCAACTGTCTTCTGTTTCCTCTGTCCATCTGACGAAAAATAGGCACAGTTTAGCAAAGATGGTAACTTCATATGGGGTTGTGGGCTGTCCCTGTAATATGAGAGCTGTGTTCTGTGAGCCTCTTTAATAGTTGTTGCACTATGAAGACCTGAGACTGGGAAAGTAATTCACTTCTTACATTTATTTATTGTCACTTCCTTTGAAATAGCATGAGATAAGTAGGGTTGTGGTGCATGCCACATTTAACAGCAGACTACTCTGATGGTACACTTCTTAGAATAAGAAATAAAGATAAAGCCATAAGTAGAATATTATGTAGATCTGTATCTAAAAGGCATGGCAATGGAAACATATCATTATGGGAGTGTTTTATTAAAAAAAATAAAAAAGAAAAAGCTTTCAGTTTATGTTGTTCCCTGAAAACCGAGCTCTGCACCATCATCATAACGCTGTTTGGCAAGATAGGAAAGCAGCAGGTACAGCATCAATTCAAACAGATACATCCAGATGGAGATTTAGAAGTCATTCCTCTTGTTAACAAAAATGGATTTGGGGGCTGAATATTCTACTAACATTCCCCCTCAAAAACTAAAATCAAGAACACATGAAGACCTATGAAAGAAGCCAGTTTATATACCAAGAATAGAAAAAGGATGAAATTAATGCAAACAATTAATATTATGATCTAAAACAAGACACCTGTTTAAGGAAGTTAATGATGTCATCAAGAAACCAATAGCTTAAAAAATTGTATTATTTTTTGTTATGGAGATATTAGAAATAAATCACTAGAAAGAAAAAAAACATACATTTATTGTCACGGGGGAAAAGTAAAGTCAGAAATAGCAAGAAGGAAAGAAGAATGCTTAATAGTCTGTGTGACTGACAAAAATCTTCCTAATTTTACACATTTTCAAGTCATCGGGGCTAATGCAGTTGATGTAAATGAAACTGAAAATAAGCTAGCCAGTGACTTCTTGGACTCAGGAATATTACAGTTTTAGAAATCTTGAAAAATTGGGAGAATTCTAAGAGAGTGAATGATTGTCCTTATCAATACTGAGTCATCAATACCTAAAAAGAGGAAAAGAGTGGCTCAGGAAAATTGAGCTAGCTGGGTCACTGATACTTTTGTTTTGAGGCAAGATGATCATGATCGATTTTTTGGGTTCAAGATAATGATCAGTTAAAGTTGTTCTAGTGTTACAGTCCTCATGAAAAATAGCCAAGGCATTTGATTTGGTACCAGCTGAAAATTGGTTGGAAACTTCTATGGAATTAACTCCATATACTTTCCATATATTTCAAAACTGCTTCCTGACAGATCTCAAGCTGCTAGCAGAGGCAGAAAGAAAATGAAGTGTAAGACAGCAAGCAAGGAAGATTAGGATTTGCTCAAACACTTTTTTCATCAGATATTTTGATTTTCTAGTGAAGTCTGTGGGTGACAATGATTGCAGTAAGTAATGGCAGGAAATGTTTGCAATATGAATCAAAAATATAAAGGCTTTATAATGCAGCTATAATTACATCTGAGGATCAGGACTACAAGAAGTGAAAATTTATCTTGGAATGTATAACCCAAACTGAGTCTGACACCTTCCCAGACTGACCTTTGCCTTCCTGACTCTTTAAGTATTTGCATCTCAAGTATTTGTGTCTCAAAACGCAAGCCAGCTACACTGTGCTTTTTATTTCCTGGATAACAAGTGTTTTCCAGAGTCCCTTGCACCATGCCAAGTGGTACTGTTCTAAGACTTAGTTTATCACCCACTTGTCTTTCCTCACTGAGAGAAGAGAGGCATCGCATTTCCTGATTCCTTATAGTCTGTTATTTCTGTCATCTTATCAATGTTAGCACATCGCAATGGACTAATTTTGTGAGAACTAGAGAGTATCTATTGCCCAAGTGCTCATGCCTAGGACATTTCTGCAGAGATCATAGAATCACAGAATCAGATGGGTTGGAAAGGACCTCTGAGATCATCAAGTCCAACCCTTGATCCACTACCACCGTGGTTACTAAACTCAGTGTTTAGTAAAAAAATAAACTGAGTTTAAACTCAGTGCCACATCCAGTCTCTTCTTAAAAACCTCCAGGGACGGTAAATCCACCACTTCCCTGGGCAGCCCATTCCAATGCCTGAAGAAATTCTCTGTAAAGAATTTCTTCCTAATATCCAACCTAAACCTCCCCTGGCAGAGCTTCAGACCATGCCCTCTTGTCTTACTGATAGCTGCCTGGGAGAGGAGACCAACCCCCACCTGGCTACAACCTCCTTTCAGGTAGTTGTAGAGAGTGATGAGGTCACTCCTGAGCTTCCTCTTTTCCAGACTAAACAACCTCAGCTCCCTCAGCCTCTCCTCACAGGACTTGTGTTCGAGTCCCTGCACCAACCTTGTTGATCTTCTCTGGACCTGCTCCAGCACCTCAATATCCTTCCTGAGCTGAGGGGCCCAGAACTGCACACAGTACTCCAGCTGTGGCCTCACCAGTGCTGAGTACAGGGGAAGAATCACTTCCCTGCTCCTGCTGGCCACACTGTTCCTGATACAAATGCTGCAGTACTATTTTATATCTACGGTGATCATTAAGATACCTGAAGCAAAGTGTCTGATCGCATGTCTGTCATGGATTCAGAGCACTATGAAAACCTGATGAAATTAGTCATTGTCAACACAGTCAACATAAGTAGTAATTTGTCACTTTTTAGGCAGGCTGAACAACACCAGAGCGGTGTATTCACACTGCTTTGTGCATATGGAATATCCAACAGCTGCTCCAGAAATACTGTATGACCTCTCCATTGTAAAGAATTTGCTTCAGTCTCCCAGGTTTAGAGCATGCTGATAGAAAAGCACATGAGGGTGGAATGCATCTGAAATGTGACATCCAGCAGCACAGTTGATTCCTCATCTGAATAACAGAAACATTGATAGAGAACATTCCAGAGGATCCTTTGCTGGTTG